CTTGCTGAATGAGAGCCATGCAACTTTAATTATACGCTCTGAGGGCATTTGTACTTTCTTGGTTTGCGGGACTATGTATGCTGTTATCATTCATGCCGCTCCCCAACTTCTTGCCTCTTTGAAGAATGCGTGTTGTGTTTTTTTTTGCTTGGAAAATCTCGACAAGTGTCAACATTTGTGTTGTTTTTTTTTTTCCTGAGTATATATATATATACTGATAGATTTTGCAATGGCTTTCACTAGATCATGTTGGTTATGTGGTGCTCCTTTCCACGATAGACACCAGAAACATGGAGAAACTCAGCACTTCAGGTTCAATTTTTCAATGATTGACTTCACTAGCTCCAAAAAAATCATGTGACCCCCTCGTCCTTAGCTCCTTAGGCCTTGGATTTCATTCCTTACTTTGAATAGGAGTGAGAAGATAACTTTAGCCTTTGATTTGCTCATCAGGCTGGCCACATTGGCTCTCCGAGGCAAACAAAATTCAGTTGACTTGAAATCGTCGTTGATGCAATAGAGCGTGATTCAAAGTGCTGGCTGCAAACTGAATGTCTTCAAGATTGAAACATGTCAGACTGTGCGACACGTTTACCTGCTGACAGAGGGCGGTGTCAATTGAAAGAGCTCAATTGGCAATTTCTTTACATTGCAACCTGGCCAGGTCAAACCCTGCAGGGGTTGGTTGCCTAAATTTTGGAAATTGTGCTATGCAGTGCTATGCAGTGGTTGTTCTCGACACATGGCCTCCAACCTAGAAGCGATGGCCTCCAACCTAAAGTCTTGGATGGTGTATCTTTAGACATCTCCAAGATCTTCTCGACACATTCTCGTCCCAGGCAGGTGGTTTGGCGACACTCTGCCCGAGTGTTGCGGAGGCGAATCGTTGTCATTCTGTCGTCAGTCTGATCTCATGTTCACTGTTTGGCAAGGCGATGCTGCAGAAACTCTTCGAGTGGAACGAGCCCTAACTTTAACCCTAACTGTGAAGTACCACACTGAAACATACATGTTGCTGGAGCAAACAGTCGGCGTGGTCGGGCCGTTCCTTTTTTGATTGAAGCCTATCAGGCTGCAGTTTCTTTTCCTGCCTCCCTCGGGGCTGATTTGTCGGCCTTTGGCCCAGTAGAACATGGACTCGACATGGACTCGTCAAGCAACAGAAACTCACATGACTTGTTACAAGTAACAAGGGCATCGATCCTAGTAACAAGGGCATTACCGTAGCTAGGACGCTACTAGGGGCTCCTGGCATCGCTTCTAGGAGCAAGGACGGCTCCTGGCCTTACTACTAGTAGCTGCTTGATACTAGTAGCTTCTTGCTACTAGTAGCGATGCACCTGTTACTAGTAGCTTCTCGCGAGACCTCGTGAGGCTTGCCTCCACAGTGTCTGTGTCAAATCCGAACCTTCTCAAACGAGTGGTGCCACAAGCTCAGCCCATAACATGGAGTCCATGGAGTGGAATTCGTTTTTGAACGGGGAAAAGGCTGGGAACCCTGAGGAGATGTGAGCGTGCGCTCTTTTCGGTGCCCGATGTGTGTAGCAGTACATTTGCTCGCAAATACAATGTGCTGGAGTGTCGGCCTCAGTGCGACTTCAATGGATCGATATTTTAAAGGGACTTCAAAT